TGTTGAAGAGGTTACTTGTAATGGTAATAGGACCAAGAAGAGTCCATTTAATCAAAACTATGACTGTCACAGAATTTTAGTGACTAATGGGTTATACGTTTCCATGAAATAAGCAACATTTTAGTCAGCAAAATTCATGACAAGAGTGCATGCACATGATGCATTCTGTCCAATTTCACAGGCATAATGTGTACACTGTCCAGCTTACAAGCACGATCATACAGTGTCCTGTTAGTGCTCAAAACGGGCTGGTGATAACCAATCATGTTTGAGAATTTTTCATAGTTGTGATTACCTGATTAATCAATATAGGAGGGGCTTTGAAGATTGAAAATGATCTTCTCCACTAGAGAGAAGATAGTACAATGATGATGAAAAGTACTATAGTTATACCAGATTGCCATTCAATCATTTAATTTATCCTGATCTTTAAGAGGATCTTATCTTTCAGATTTGGAATGTTCACAGTGTGCTCAATGTGCTGTATTCTTTGGTGGAGAAATCCAAGATTAATCACCAGGTTGGTAGCTACAAAATATTTATAATAAATTTCTGGGGCATCTTCACTGTAACTTCTCAGTTATTTGATGTCAAAAAATCTTGCAAACTGATTCCCGTAAATGTTGATTACAACAATACACATCAAGATATTTTTATTGAAGCGCAAACTCCACAGCTTAGGGGTTAGTTTCCTTACTTGTATGGAGGTTCTTTCTTCTTAGTGGTATGCATCCTACAAAATGACTGACTTGGACCTAAGTGTTAGTTTTTGTTGTTTATATCTAACTCGGAACTTGAGCCAAATGGCCCTCCCAGCCAGAGCTTATCCCAGTGTCCTTAACATGAAGTTGCAAGGAGTATCACTACTCACCACTGGATAGGATGTTGGTCCATCACAAGGTCACCCCCCCACTCCACCTCCAACCAATTTATCAGGCTTCCCTGGTATTTCTACTCCTTGGTGGAGAGAATAAAGTGTTTTGCCCAAGAACATAACACATTGACCTGGCCAGGTGTTGAAGCCAGACCTTTGGACCCAGAGCCCAGTGCACTGACCATTAGGTCACCCTACCTCCTATTTAAATTCATGACAAATTTATCAACACAAGATTGAAGATTTAGTTTATGTTGATCTGACTTTTTTTTTTTCACAGCTTGAGAGGTATAACCAAGGGGGTGACCCAGACTCAGTGGCTGGTGAGTTTGGAATTCATCCACTCTACAAGATGCTGGGTTACTTCAGTCTGATAGGTTTGCTGAGACTGCATTCACTGCTTGGTGATTATTTTCAGGCCATCAAAGTTTTAGAGAATGTTGAGCTAAACAAGAAGGTAAACTGAAGAGTAAAATAACATAGTTAGAAAGACTGGTGTCTAAGAGTGCTTAGATAATAATCACAATGGTTAGTTGTAACAAAGGTTGACATTATGAAGGAGAAAGTGAAAACTCAAAATAAACACCATAACTGACAAAAAGTTAAGGAAAATAATAGTAACTTAATTGCAGTCAGTTTCAGTCTTGCATTGTTTTTGTGGAGGAGTTGTAGCAAGTTTTGCATACCAATCACAGGGTGTTAAGCACAAGAAAACCAATCCTTCATTACTTGACACTGAAATGCAAGGAGCTTTTTTTCATTTTCACTTTTCTTTTTTTTTGTTTTTTTCCTTACCTTGCACAAGATTTTTTGGGGCTGCATTTCTATGTAACCTACATATAGTACTGGGAATAGGTAGCATTCACTAGCTGATATATTTGCCAGTTCTCATAATCAGTTTTTTGGATAATGTCTTGATATTGTGTAGAGAATTTCAATGTAAATCTCTTTCATTTCAAATCACTCACTGTGTGATGTACAATTTATTTTTGAGACTCTTGCTATACCAATTCACTGTACATCAGTGACATGTATGTTGTCTTCCAACAGAGTCTATACTCAAGAGTTCCAGCTTGCCAGATCACTACTTACTACTATGTTGGGTTTGCTTACCTCATGATGAAGAGGTACCAGGTAAGGAGGGTCTAGAGGCATGAGGCAGGAATGAATATATATTTATAGACTGCAGGAAAAGTCTGACAGGAAAATTTTGGGCTTGTATTCAAGGCATTCTAAAGCCAAATATTTTTGGGACCAGCCCAATCTAAATTAGTTCTTTCACTGCATAAATTTCATTGCTGATAGACCATTTGCTTGTTAGCATTTAAATTTGGGCTTGGAAGTCAGGATTTGTACCATACAGTGTAACAGGAATTTTAATTTTCTCAACCAAGGCCTTTATGATTGTTGCTAGAAGATGAATAAACCCTTATCTTTACTCACGTGTAGGTGGTAGAATCTCTTTTCCCCCTTGTTTTGGATCATCAGATTGCATATTTTATCCTCATTTGAAGTTGTCAAATTATGAATTTGGATTGAAGAAAAAAAAAATAAAGAAAGAACAACATCCAGGAATCCTCCCTCCTGAAGTAGGGTAGGATATCTCTATGTAACCAGAATTATAGAACATGATCTGTTTCTATTCTAGGATGCTATTCGCAGTTTCTCCAATATTCTGCTTTACATTCAGAGGACCAAAAATATGTTCCAAACTAAATCCTATCAGTATGAACAGGTGAGAAGTCCCACAAAGGGTCATCAGCTTAAATAGAGTCTATTATTTTCAAAGAGGGTTTCCACAGACACTGATCTCTTTCTGTCAGACATCAAATAAGAGACTGAGTGCATTGATGTTTACTAATTAAACATTGAGGTCAAGATTTTTTTTGCCCTCACCAAATATCACACAGAGAAATCAAGAGCAAGTAATCGTATTGTTTTAGAATAAATCTAAACTTCATATTCAAATTCAAAACTTCATAAGAAGTTTATTTTGGTTTTTATGCTGCCAACTTTTGACACCATCTATCATGGGATATATAGCAAGCAGCTATCTGTTCCATGATAGATAGATGATAGAGTTTGTGGTATTTATACTGATGAGCATTACCTTGCCAACGTTTCAAACCTATAGATAATGAAGAAGAATGATCAGATGTATGTACTGCTGGCCATCTGTCTGACATTATGTCCACAGGTATGTAGTTCTCATTCTTATGGATAAGTCATCATCTATTTCCTGGGGGAGGGGGGTCAGAGGATTTTGGGGTGATCACATTTTTTTCAGGGGGAAAGGAGGGGAATCACTCCCCAACAGATCATGAGGGGGAGGTGGGGGGCTTGAAAAAAATTATGAGCCAACTAACTGCCAATGAAAGGGGATCATAAGATTACAGAGCCTCATAGGGGGATTAGGTAAAATTTATCGTGACACAAACGATATCCTCCGTAAACCCCCCCCTCCCCCCTTGATAAATTATGATCAGTCCCTTTTTCAACCTTAGTTGTGGTTAATGTCGGCTTTTCTCATCAAACCAAAAAGAACCTTGAGATTTTACAAAGATTTGCTTTTGTTGCAGCGAATTGATGAAAATGTTCACTCACAACTGAGGGAGAAAAATGCAGATAGGTTGCAACGACTTCAGCGTGGGTATGTTGAGTGTGTTTTTGTTTGTTTGTTTTGAAAATTCTTCATTTGTGCACTGGAACAAGGTGACCTTCCCAAGAGTTTGAGCGCACACAAGCATTAACTGTATGTACTAATTAATTTTTTCAATTATTTCTTAAATTTTCTTTCCACAGAGATTTGCAGACATTTGAGGAGTCGTTCTCGTATGCTTGTCCTAAGTTTATCTCCCCAGTCCCTCCGAACTTTGACGCCCCTCCAGCTAATTTTAACAGGGTAAGGACATTTTAGGGCAATCTTCAAATGGTGCTGCTCAACTTTGCTTCAACTCTACTTGATTGTAGAGTTTTTACTGAATAGTTGAGATAGTTTTCTTTGCACTGGTTAGCAGTTGTGATTTCTCCACACTTTCAGTCAATTTACAGAGACGCGTGATCTACTTCAATGAATTTTGAATTTGTTTGAAGATAAACTGGATCGCATGAGACTTTGAAATATGGGCTCTTGAATTCTTCATCATTGTTACACAATTGTGTAACCCTCTAACCCCTAAGAGCGACCAGCATCTAACTTCTCCTTACAATATCACCACTGAATCACGCTGTAAGGTCATGAGAATCAAGGAAATGATCACTAACTAAAGAAAGTCTTTATTGTTGGACAAATTCTCCTTATCAGCAGCTTAGTAAATGTACAGAGAACAGTATGGAGAATATGCATACTAATGTTAGGGTGTAAAGGGTTAAATCCTAACGATTTTTTTTTTCGATTTTACAGTTGTTTCAATTGCACCATTTTTTTTGTCTTTTCCAGGAACCGTTTAATCTTCAGCTGAAAGTTTTCATGAATGAAGTGTCGCAGCAATCTCTGATACCAGTAATTAGAAGGTAAGGTTTAAAACAGAAGTTTTGTGTCAGTTTTTATTTAGAATCAGCGTGACCATCACTTGACTTGCTTTCAACAATCAAACTTACATCGCCGAAATAACGTTATAATATTCGTTAGACCGTTTTTTGATTTAGCGTCGTAAAACCAAATTCAAAAGGATCATAGTAAGTCAGGACTAGGTAAAGATCACTCGTAGCCATTGAAAACCAGGCACTACAGTAACTAGCGTCAAATGTGGGGAAAACGTGCATAACAAAGTTGCAATTGCTTTAGTTTTGTATCTGATTGGCTAGGTGAGTGGCGTGAGATGTTTAGACCAATCGTAGTGCGAATGAAAGTAAAACCAGTGCAGTTCGTTTCAGTTCCCCTATTCTATAGAATTAAATGCTCCATTCTGCATCTGTGATCGATAAGTTTTGTAAAGTAGACCTCCATTTCCATCATGGAAAGTTTGTTTGCCTTTTGTTTTTTTCAGCTATTTGAAGTTGTACACCACAATGCCCATCGCAAAGCTTGCTGCATTTTTAGACATGGTGAGTTAAAAGAACCTCTTCCACAGTGAATAAAACACTTTTTCTTTTGTTGTTTTTGGTCCAAGAGAAGGGAAAACAAAAGCTTCGTTCCCTCCATGGAATGGGTTTCAATCTTGACACTTAAGTTATTGTTTGTGTTCCTTGTGTAGGATGAGAGTCAGTTCAGGACCCAACTGCTCTGCTTCAAGGTAAGTCTCTAAACAAAATTTTCACAGGGTTAGTATGGTATAGTGCAGTTCACAACATTTGGCGAAAAACTATCCTTTACTTGTCTTGGTAACCCTTGACGCTTCCCCTTCACAGCATAAACAGAGGAATCTTGTGTGGACGAAAGGAACAGATGCTCTTGAGGGAGAGCTCCAGTCTTCCTCTGAAGTGGACTTTTACATTGACCAGGTGAAAAAAATAATTCCTATCGTGACAGTAACCAACCCCAGAACGTTAGAGATGTGTTCGACTATTTGACGTAGAATAAATGTAAAGTAACCCCGACGACCCATCAGATCACTGGGTAATATTTCACGGAGCCAATGAGAACTCAAAGTCAAAACGAGCTAATCACTTAAAGCGCGGGAAAACGTGGGGAGTCAAGTCGTGACTGGGTTTGCTTTGAAATCTGATTGGTTGAGACGGGTGCACAAGGTTTTTCTTTAGACCAATCATTACAATAGGCAAAACCAAAGTAGTATATGCGATTGAAGATGGCTCTAATTGCATAAAGTAATGGATGATGAATTTGTTTGTTTGTTTTTTTTTAAAACTGTACTCAATTTACAACTTATAAGATCATCTCAAATATGTTCTCTATAACAAACCAGTTTTCCTCCTCGCAAAAACGATCGTTGTTCTTTAATAAATACTTTCCTCCTTCTTTCAGGATATGATACACATCGCAGATACGAAAGTTGAACGGCGGTATGGAGATTTCTTTATTCGACAGATTCACAAGTTTGAGGAGGTGAGACTTACTGGTCCCTCATTCCCTACAAGTATGTTAATAAACTCCTGCTATGAGTTACCTTCCCCCCCTCCCCTCCCCCCTTATCCACCCTTGTGGTTACAAGCCAATATGCATGTTTTGTGGCCAAAATGACATTGGTCACAGAACACCCAGAACTAAGAAAAGAAGGCAACAACTACTTTCTACAGTACTGTCTCGTAAAATAACGTGATAAGTGGAAAGTCTTAAGAAGTTATGAGATAGAGCCGAGAACGAACAGTTGAAGTGACGATGGCCTAGATGCCATAAAAGAAAAACGGTATTCACCTATAAAGCGAGGCTGCAAGGTCTCATTTATCGCGCTGCGGCACTTGCAGCTAAGCCCGCGAATTTCAAGCTGGCAAGCGTGCGAAAGATCTTTGAGGGGTGTGGTCTCATGCCAGAACCCTCGCGGCCCCCTCCCACTTTGTCCCCCCAGTCGGATCCCGGAGGGTTCGCTTCTCGTGTCGTAGTGTTTCTTTGCATAACGATCGCGATCTGTTGCTTCGCGAAGAAGTGATGATGTTTGAGATGCTGCTGCAAAGCAACTTTTGACGAGATACTCGTTCTTCCTCTTTTAGGTCACTAAGAACATCCAAGCAGTCCAGTAACACTTAAACAATCACCTGAGGAAAGATACCGTAATAACTTAAATACCGTAATAATCAGTAATAACATGCATAAACGAGAAGTACCCTTGCCAACATATTGCAATATTCAACAGTCATTTGATGGAAAACAGTGTATATGCAACACGTCATTAAAAGGTCATAAAAGTAAAATTACCATGTCAGGCTGTAGTGAATGATATGTATGTGGATGAACTACCCACAAAACTATCCTCATTAGAAAAACTAGAGCAAATATGAATAGCTCAACGAATAGTATTTGAGAAGATTGTAGTCATGCACAAAGGACAACAGAGAAAAATTAAGGGTGCAATATGCAATGTACCTGTAGAATGTGATCAGACATGTAACACCTGATAGATCTTGTATAATAATACTTAAGCTTAAGAGAAAGTTACAATCTAGAGATGTTTATTTTCAAGCATCACGACCAGAGTTAATACAGCAAGTTCTTAACTGGCTCAAAGTACATAATCCATTGTACAATTTGTAGATATACTAGCTGATATTAACAATATTGATAGCAACCTCACAACTTTACAAGATGATGCAGACGATAATGAAACACATCAACAAGCTACATCAAACAATGTCACAACAGATAGTGATCCTGCTTTGGAATTTGATGCAAGAGAAAATGATAAATTAACTAGTAATGAAGAAGAAAATGATGACCCCTTAAATTAATATAGAGCCCCAGTATGCGAGACATGCTTAAGAGTCAATCATACCAAACTATCCAGTGGTGAAAGGCTCCAAACTACGACGTACATCAAATTTGACCTTCTCGAAAACTGGTCTCAAATTACATACTAAAAAAACAGTGATTGCGTTTGTCCTTGAGAACCATAGAATACGCGACAAATACGTACAAAAAATACTTTTATACATTCACGATAAATAAAATTATATTTACCAACGGTGAAAGGAAAAAGGAACGGTCTAACTTCTACGGAATGTTCAGTCAAAATGTGCCGATTTCTAACGCTTTCATCGCCATATTGGAAATAGAGCTACCACAATGCAACGCAATCGGAGTGCGCACACCGCCTGCGATGCCTCAGTCAGAAAAATCAAAGCGAAAGAATTGTCGCTTCGTCGAAATTAAAAATGTATTGTCGTTGTCGCAAAATGTTGCTCCTTTTCCGTCCGTATTTTCCGGCTGTCGGTTCAGCGGAACAAGATTGTCGCTACATTTTTAACAATGCCGCTGTTGCTAAAAGTCGCACCTTTTCTGTCAGTTTTTTTCGGCGGTTGGTTCATCGTTTCATCGGAACAAGATTGTCGCCACATTTTTTTAGCAATGTCGCTTGTCCCCAATACCTCTTAGAAGGTCTCAACAAACAGCACAAACTGTTGTTACTGCTCGCGTGGAATAATATAATGACTAATTTGCAAACAATAATAAGCTTGAGTTCCATATTTACAAGAACCTCTACACACTCGCCAACTGCTTTACTCCGTGCTGTATAAACACCCCTTATTGCTACAATACAATGAAGGATTTGTGAAGTTTTTAGGTACTTATTGATCATTATGTTTTTACTGATATCTCAAGTATTACTGTGGAACTTTCTACTGAGTAATTGTTACAGATTTTTCTTCGGCGGCCGCAGCGTTTTAAGAGTTTTGAGTTGCAGTGATTGAGAACTCTTCCGTCTATTAAGTTTACTGCCAGTGACTTACGATTTGTCTTGCACAGGGGTCGCAGTCAAAGAGAATTCACCTTCTGAATTCTTAAAAGAATCCTTAAGATTTTTTTTGTCGATTTCGGTGGGCTGATATTCTGTGGTGACTAAAGTATCAAGAATTGAACGATTCTTTTCTTCGGCTAAATAAAGCGCTCGCATTTTTTCTCTGACTTCCCTAACCTTTTCTTTTAATTCTTTTGGTTTAGTATAGTCCTTACTTTCAAAAGCTTTTCTAAGTTGCTCCTTGATGTAACCTTGAAAAATCCACAAAAAGCATTTTGCAATTTCAGGTGTTTTTTCCACGATAGACTCCATAAATTCGTCGAAGCTGTGGTTCTCATCTTCGCCCTCATTGTCTTGATAGCCTTCTGCCTCGCTTTCAGAATCTTTCGACACCTCGCCCTTGCTCAGTACTTTTTTCAGATCATTCATCGCTCCTCTCCCATTCATGGCTAGATTTGTAAACTCTGTCTCGGTAGTCATTTTCTTAAAAGTTGATAAATAAAACTTCAGATTAGCACTTGTCTCCATCTCCAGCCGGGTTACCATTATTGCCTGATCTATGGCTCCGTCTTGTTTTTTGACAACCATCTTCTCAAGATTATCTAGAGACTCTTTCAATTTTTTATAACTATCGCACAGCTCTTTTACTCCTTTGGGCAATTCAGTTAAAGCCAACTTTGGATCCTTCCGTGAATCCGTCCTTGAATCCGTCCCTGAATCCGTCCCTGATGCCATTTGGTTCAGTTTTCTCGGGTTTAGGCAGAGTAGACAATCCTAACAATACGCTGGCAATGCGGAAAACAGAGTATGTTAACTATGCAGATTAGTTTGTCGGTTTTTCCTGAGATTACTTGCTTCAACAGCTAATTGAAACTGTTGGGTTTTGGACAAAAAAGATCACCAAAGCTAATGATGAGAAATCACATAAGGAAGCCCGAATCAAAAAATTTTTTGATTGGGATGATTACTTCACGAACACTTTCCACGCTAAATCAGTCACTCCCCTACCCCCACCCCTCTCCTTGTCATTGACTGTCGACCGCCCCCTTGGCAGAACTTTCTTTCTCTTCCCAGCCTTCCGCTGCCATTAAAATCAAAGATGGCGGCCATAATTCTCGGTAAGACAATATGAACACTAGCTCGCCAAAATTACGCCTGCTCTACAGGCTATTAAAGACCTAAAAGGATTTCATTTACCGGGGCTAAACTTCAGAATACCCCGCAACTCTGGTCCGCCTCACTTACATGTGTCGGGAGGCTTTGAAGATCGAGGCATAACACAATAGACGCTATTCTTATTCAATGACATGTAAATGAGTTGCGGGGTATTCTGAAGTTGCTCCTTTACCGGTACCCGTACCCCTGGAAAAAACACTACGTAATTACTTTCTGTTTAATTTCGACCCAGCAGTCACTGTTAAAGGCTCTCAGTGCAAAGCGAAAAGATTATTATCAAATTCCAATCATAAATCTTGTTGTTTTAATGAGTGTTTGCGTCTGTATTACACTTTCCACAACGTAATATATTTCGGATAAGAAATTACCTTTGCTTTGGTTTATGTTTTCAACACCTCTATCACATCACGTCTTTCGAAGGAAATCGGCATGATCTTCTGTCACCGACACATGACTTTGCTTTGGTTTTATCAACACAGCGGACACAGCGGTCAAATGATTGCACATGCGCACTATGATAGAAAATTTGTTATCGTAAACATGGAGAATCGATGTGGGACTTTTCTCGCAGTTTCTAAGGAAAGTTCGAAGTTTCTGAGGCCGAAACTTTTACATATTGTTTTTCTGGACTTGACCCACTACGTGTAAGTTTACACTCGTGTAATTTTTTTTACACTTTGCACGGCGGGGTGATGAAGCCATCCATAAAGTTGGCCGTGCTGGCTGTAGTTATTCTTTGTTGTGTTCATGGTGAAGTTGCCGGTAAAAATCGAGGGAAATGTGTGGAAAAAGGAAGAACTAGAGCCACACAAGATATTCGCGACGATCACAGGTCTATGTTTATGGCGGACAGTGGAGTGTAGAACAAGAGAAGAGGAAGGGTTCGGTCCTTTTCCTTATCAACAAAGCGAAGCGTCCGCGTTAAAAGCAGTTGGGATATCTCGCAATAAAATAAAGGCAAGATTTAATCTTTCTACAAAATCCTTTTTCATTTGTCTTACGCATTGAAACTGTTAGGAATTTAATCTTCTTTTCCTTACTTTACGCTAGACACGCGTTCAAAATGTTTGACCGCTCTGTTGGTTTTATGTTTCGCGTAATGAAACAGCTGTTAAACCACACGTCGGTGTTAGTGTTGCATCAGGCTGGTGGCGTAGGATTAAAAAAAATCACGTGCAACACTCAAACCTTAGTTTTCTAGGAATAGTAGTGCGATTCAACAACACGAAGCTGTAGAGCCCTAGCAGTGATAACTCAATTTGTCTTTATTAAAAGCATGTATATTGACAGATCAAAAACTTTTGACTATGTTGAAAGCTTGCCAACTTTTGAAGTACCGTTGGCCTCTTTTAAAAGTATCTTTGAAGCAAAGGTAAATAAAATCCTTAATTTCCTCCAACTTCTGCTGTCAGCTTTCTGTTTGAGATTTAGTGTTATTCATTATTGTTGGAGTGATACTCTACAAACGGCAAAAATGTTTTTAATTCCTCACGTGGAGTTATTTCTCATTTCAGCAAAAATACTTTTTCAATGTGTCCCAGTCAACAATTTTCTACTCCCCCCTCCACACCGCCATAGCGTCCCGGAAACCTTGGAAAATCGAGCCTTTTACATACGTTATATTCCCTGGATTTTGGTTCTTGCTTTACTTTTAATCTTATGAAATTTAAACCAAAATAAGGAAGATCTGTTCAAGTCTTGTAATGATCACAAAGCTTGCCCAACACTTGTCATTACAGCTACCTAGCTGCTGTCTTATCTGTCCTTCGCACTTGGCTTCTCTTCCTTTCATTATACGGTCTATCATAAAGTTTGTTCAATGGCATGTGATCTGAACATTGCATTTTTTAGATCATCTTATAGCCAATCATTAGTTATCTCCCAGGGGAGGGGGGTAGTGGAGGATTTTGCAGTGGATTAAATGGTTTTCCAGACGCAGTGGAGTGGGGTCCAGTTGTTGCCAACAGAGTATAGAGGGGGAATATAGAAAATCGATCGTCAATTATCATTTTTATAAAATTCATCCTTAAGCGTTCAACCTAATATAATCTGAATTTTCACCGGAATGTTGTGTGAACTGAAAAACGGTAACGCTATAATTACTCCAACTAGAGTCTGACGTTTTGGCCAACCTATCACTTTATTGGCTTTCGTCGATATTTAGACATTTAATAACATCTTAATCGACTCGCACAGAGATTTAATTTATACACCTTTCTTTTCAATATTGTACATTTACCAGCGAATAAATGATCGGCAGACACACCACAACATGTTAAATAAAGTCCACTATCTCCTTTATCCTTTCTACCTATGGCCGACTCGTGCAGTAAGTACTTAATCTACAGTTGAAACATGGTGGTGAACTTGTAGTTATTGGTCTTGTAGCAATGCAAGGTTGCTCTTACTTCAAAAGCCAAGGTTCCAGAAAATCACGGAGAGATCCATAATTATGGTAAACATCCAACTCCGCAGAATAATCAACGCATAAGTAGCCCACAAAAACAGCACAAAATAGCATCCTGCGTTTATCGAATTTCCGCATGCAAAATTCGTTAAAATTTAGCCGCTGCAATGCAAATCTCTCTTCGCCTGCACAAGCCTAATTCCACTATTTTCCAATTCTATGTCGCGTTTCGCCTCACAGTGGTTCAGCATATATCTGATAAGATTTCTGCCTCGGAACGAAAATACATCAGAACGCACTGAAAGTTTTTTGACTAAGTGAAATTAAAGATAGGCGGAAATAAATTCCACAGTTTTTTTGTCAGAAAAGCACAGGATTATTTCTGTTCCCTTTTGATCAATCCAGCCGCTAATGTTTACATGTGATCACTAGTAAAATAGATAAAGATGTTGCGCATTCCAATTAGCTAGCTTTGTACTATAGAACGTGAAAGAATTTACCGTGATGTGCCACAGGTATCCCATGGAATTATGCAAATTTACATAAAGCTGAGGTAAGAAATTCTACGTGACAGATCTCTTAAACCATTGCCTGGAAACGGAATGAGGAAGATTCTTCACAAAGGAAGCATTAAACCATACACGATACTTTTGTTTGAAAACAAAAGGGTAAGATTCACTTCAATTAATATATTGATCGAAGTAGGTTTGGTAATTTTGAGTTGGGTTGAATGCATGACTGATTTAGCGTGTGAAGTGCTTGTGGAGTAATCATCTCGCTCAAATAATTTTTTGATTTGAGCTTCCTGATAGATCACATCTTTTCTCTTTTATTAGTTTTGGTGATCTTTTTTGCACGCAGTTCTACAGTTTCCATTAGCTGTTGAAGCAAGTGATATTAGGAAAAAATGACCGAGCAGAGTTCTATTGTAACTGTTGAAGATAAACAAGAAACATTAATCGGGAAGGTTTGCAACCCATGGATGTGGCGAGTTGCGAATGGTTTCATGGCCTTGTTTTTCGCTTTTGCCTCTTATGTTCAGGTCAGTCCACCATATTTTGAGCTTATTATGTTCTCAGCACCAGAAAAGGTGAATCTGTGGCGATATCATAATTTATTTATCGTTACGATAAATTAAGCCTCACTGATAAAGAGTTCTTTTAAAATAAGCTACATTCATGAGCAACAATACGTGTTCTTTCGTTCACTCGACACGTAGATTGAGGTAAGGAAATATTACGTAATTGTGAAAATATTATTTTTTGTTATTATTAATTAAGAACTTTGTAATGTTCAGTGATGGTTTTGAGCCTTTCAGGCAGCCGCGTGACGTCTAGCGCTTTTAGAGCACATTTCGGTTAGGAACTAGTTCTTTTCATGAATAATAAATACAGTTTGTTCACAAAGAGTTAGCTCTACAGGTAGTGTCTGCAGAGGATTTTTCTGATATCAAAACTCGGCCAGATTAAGAGGTTTAGAGCCGAGAAAAGAATCATGAAAGTGTAAGACACAAGGGAATCCCCATCCTGCAGATTGAATATTGTTTTATTAATCTCGTAAGTTTAGGAGAACTTTTCTTTTTTGCAGTAACTCTAAAGACTAGGAGAATTTCATAGAAATTAGAGCAATTTTTCAAAAAAATTTAAGCAGCGCTCAACGACCTATGAGAAAAGTTAAATAGGGGTAAATTATTCATATTCTAATGCTAAAAGTTGACAAGAAATTATTCACAAAATGTTTGTTGTCATATGCTCAAATGTAACACTTTGTGACTTAAGGTGACTGAATTGTTGGATAGCAGAAAGAATTTTTGGTGAATGCATGTATGATTTTGATTTATGATCTTAGAATTTTTTAATCTTTATTTGTCCACAACAGATCAATGACCCTGATCCTGTAATATGGATGGTAAGCCAGGCTTCTTTTCAGTGGTAATAGATTTTGGTTTTAAGATGGTAATTATATGAAGTGGGTAATTTTCTGAGACAAAACAAAATATTAAGGCCTCAAGGAAAAGAAAGGTCTGCTGCAATGACTAGGATGACTTATATTTTGTTTAAGGATATCTGTTGTTGCATCTACTTAAAACCCCTTTGACCTCTAAGAGTGACTAGCATCTACTTTCTCCTTACAGTATTGCTCCTGAATCACACATTAAGGTCATGAGAATAAAGGAAATGATCACCAACTAAAGAAGCTAGATTGCTAAACAAATTTTCCTCTTCAGAGCCGTAGGAAATGTATTCATTTGAGAACAGTATGGAGAATATGCATACTGATGTTAGAGTATAAAGGGTTATTAATACATCAATAGGGAAATAATTGAATAAATGGTGAAATGATCTTAAAGCTGTGAAATTTGCATGTGAAAGAAATATGATTCATGTTTGAGGACTGTATGGAGTCAAACAAGAAACCAATAGTAAACTTGGAAGAAACTGGGTTCAAAACTTGAGTGAAGTGAAAATTTTCAGAGTTTACCGTAATCCCACCCTGTTTTTGTTAAAAACATATGATTCTTCTTACATTTGCTTTCTAGTTGATCTATGCCATTCCATGTTTCCTGTGTATTGCTTTAGTGATTGATTCATCATTACAAGGTAAAAAATCTGATTATGGAAACTGATGTCTTTGATCAATATTTATGTCAGCAGATCCAGGTCTTGAAACAATAAGGAAGCCACTTTATTAAGCAAGTGGATCTTTTTTAAGGTCTCAGATGTGCATTATAACATTTGTCATTTTGATGGCAACTTAACACTTTGACCTCTAAGAGTGACTGACATTTAATTTCTCCATACAATATCACCCCAAATTCATATGTTATGGTTACAAGAATAAAGTAAATGATCACCAACCAAAAAGCACCTTACAAAATGTATAGAGAACAGTGTAGATGAAATACATACTGATGGGATCAATATCAGTATCTGGGCAACTGCCCACCTACCCCTCCCCTAACTCAACAACAGTCAATTAATAACAAGTTAGGGTTAATGTTGGGTTAGGGAGGGGTAGGTGGGCAGTTGCCCAGAAACTGATATTGGTCCTACTGATGTTAGGGGTGTATGTAG